TTGGTCAAAACCTTAAATCTTTTGTCTAAAACGTTTCTCACCAAGCTACCTGCCTCGTGATTCATTACTATGTTCAAATAATATGAGCTTGAAATGACCTTGAGGGGTCCCTTGGACCCATGGGTCAAATACATATCTGAATGTAAATTTTCCCGCTCTTTCCGATTCTGGAATAAAAAAATGGGGGTTTCCATTAAAAAAAAAGTTGATCTTGAAATAACCTCGAAAAATGACCTCGAGGTCAAAGACAAGGTCACCATCGAATCGCTAGGTCAAAACTATGCAACTTTTGTCGGAATTATTTTCTCGGAAAATGCGATCCTGGAAATTTATTTAGGGGTACTGATACTTTTGTTACACCCTGTATATATATATATGTATGTATGTATATATATATGTATATACACACGCGCTTACACACACATACACACACACGCGCGCGCACACACACAAAACTGGAAGAATTTATTTTCTGCAAAATAAAAAGTATAATTAAGATCATTGTCAGAAATACTCGAGCAAACCTGTTGTTAGAGCAGGTGTCCACTCTTGTTCACCAGTGGCACCCCACAAGAGAGTCAAACTCTTATTTGCTATAACTGAAGAAGTATTTACAGTTTTATCTCCATTAGTCGATGAGTTGGATCGCAGTGGCTTGCCTTTTGTGTCTACACAGGAATATAAACTTTATTAGCATACTTTAATAATGCTTTAATTGCATAACATTAATTACTATCTTACAATCTTGAAATCCTATTTGAGATGCTGATCTTGAAATTTGATTCGTATTGCTCATTCCAATTTCCATCGGAGACCCACTTACGGTAGACGGGGCAGCCTCGTTTTGCGTCTCTGAGCATGTTTGCGTTGGTACAGCTTGATAGTGATGCTGTTGTATTAATACACCTGTTGGACCTACAGAATCATAGTTATTAATTAATCATGTGTTTAATTTTATATATAACTGTATATAAGAAATCGTTGTCAACATTCTCTTTTAATGTATTAAATAATATCAGGTCATATACGTAATGTACAATTGTGATATTAAATATGTAACACTCTTCCATGCGGGATAAGCTTAGTCGGTACGGTCCAAGTTTAGACTTATTGAATTTGAAGCAGTGGTATAGGTGTTAATAAATATAAATTATATTCTCAATAAGCGCTATTTACAGGCGCATTTATATATAATAATTTCAACGCCGTTGTTATGTGGTCGTGTTTTTGCTCACGTGAGTCTAAGTTGTATCGCGATGACGGTTGCGGTAGTACAGGCCCGCGAGCGGTTCGCGGGACGCGGTCGGTGTTGTTTCGAGTTCTTCTATCGCACGCCTGGCGAGGCTGTTTATAATGCGGGATTTAAACGTTGTTGATGCCGACTTTTAACTCGCCGGTTGGTAATTGTTGTTGTCGCGATTTGCTTTGCGCCTTGTGCGCGGAGAGCCGGTACACGCTGTATGCGTTATGCGGTGACGGAACGGTATGGTCGCGTGATGATGCGCCAACGTTGTCTACGCGGATTTGAAATCGCGCGAATGCAGCTCAACGCTGGCGGAATCTCGATCGCGTATTCTGCGATATCGAGGTTTAGGTAAACGGATTTGAGATTGTCTAGGAAACGATGTCGACGTCGCGTATCCAACTCGGTCGACGGAACGGTATAGGAAGCGGTGTCAACGTCGCGTACTCAACTCGGTCGACGGAACGGTCTAGGAAGCGGTGTGGTCTAGAGGTTTCTCTGCGGGTAGCAGCGAGCTCTGGTCAGGTGAGTGTCTTAGCGGAACTCTCCGATGGTTCTTTCTCTTCGGCGTTTTCGCGTCGGCTTTTATACGCGAATTTTGGCTCGTCTCGCTGTTTTTGTTTTCGCGAATGTTCGGCGCTTAGTTTCGCGGTTGTTCGGCGTAAACAATCATCGTGACGATCCGACTTTTCTATCGCCCTTTGGCGGATCATTACAAATAGTATATTTATAAATAATAATTACGTTATTCGCGATGGAAATTACATAGTTCTTTTATTAATATTCGATAGAAAATCAATAATTACCCTTTGGAAATATATGAGTCCACCTCCGTCTATTGCTAGTGAGTTTTATAGTAACGTGGGACGGATCAAAAGGATTGATCAATGCTCTGCTAGGCCTAAGTATATTTGTTGGCTGAGAAATGGAGTTTGTTGGGCTGCCAGCGCTACCGACGACAGGTCTAAACGGCGGAGATATCTCTGAATCTGTTAAGTCGCTCTTAACCGGTGTTCTGGATGTACCTAAATATACAATTATTACAGTTGTATTTCATAAATGTAAAGATGCAAAATTAATTGCCGGAGATGTATAAGCTTACCAGTTTCATCGCCATTAGATTCACTATTGTCGTCGTCTGTTTTGTGTGGTATCGTAATAGCTGCACTCCGTAATGTAACAATTGGTGGTGAGTGTGTCTCAGGTGGTGGATGATGTATATCGGGATCCGACATTTTACGTTTCAAGAGTTTCAATAGATGGCCGTTGTTGTGAGTTTCGAGACAGGCCACACTTGTTTTCTTCGTTCTCGTACTTATCCTTTGCACACTGAAAAAAAACGACTCAGTCTATTTGGTGCGTATACGCGAAATTTTATAACAATCTATCGTTGAAAATGAGATTATAGATGAACACTTCCAAAACAGATACTTTATTTCGTAATATCCAAAGGAAAGTATCAGTTGGGTTTACCACCCGTAACATATAAACGCACGAAGAACTAAAAGAAGCACTTGATTTATTTACCTTGAAGTATGAACTGTTGGTAACTGAAATACTTGTGCATCGTAAGCGTCATAATCAAATAAGGTATTATGCAGACATTCTCTCGGATCTTCCTGTAGCAGCTTACTTTTGCAATGTAGTTTTCCATTATCCGCCGAATGCTTCGCCACTCTTTGCGGTAGTTTTATCCGTGGTATAAATGTAGAGTAGGGAATCTTTTTATTCGTAGAATAAAAACTCAGATTTATCCAATGAGGCATGCTATAGTCATCCGGTGCGTTTATAGACGAGTCTTTATTGTGAAACTGGAAATCAGTTATTTTCTTATGTAAAAGAAAAAAAAAAAAGAAATAACATATGCACGACATACCTTTAACAAGGGAACCGCATGAAGCGGTTGCTCTCCGACGCAGACTAAATCGCTACCTACACCGTTGTCAATGATTCTCTGTTTCGTTACATTTGTCAGCTCTCTATCAACTTCAAATACTCCAACGCCTGGCGTGATTACTACAGATAACTGACCAGTTCTGTCGAAACTGCGATCCAGATAATGTTTTTCGAATACTATAAAAATGTAATGATAATATGACAAACTATTGAAAGTAATTTATACACAATATCTTAATCATTTCTTATACTTGTTGCTCACCGTTCAGAGACATATTCAACACTTCTAAAAAGTTTCCCTGTGCAGCAGTGGAATTTATTGCCTTGGGCATGGTAATACCTGGCTTTTGGTGATATTCCAAAACAATCTTTTGGTAATCAGTGAATAATTTACGTAACTGCACCAAAACATTACTCCAATCCTCAAATCTCTCATTTTGTACTGCAACTCTGTAAAAATCTTCATAAAATCTCCCTCTATAATCATGCTGCAAACACTCTCTCATATGATTTGGAAATTCCTCCAGACTAGTAGCACTATAGAATGTCCTGGAGAAGAATACAATCGTCACTTCGTGATTACTGCCATTTTTTTTCCACTTTTGAAATAAATCTGCCAGAAATCCGTTGACTGCTTTCTCAAAATACAGATCTCCATGTATGTCAAAATCCCACATTTCAGAGCTCATTTGAATAAAAAGATATACCATACTTGTAGAGGATCGAAATACTACCTAGATATTACATATACTTCTTTTTCACAACATTTTCACAAAGATCAATGTTATAGATTAATATGGTCTTACAATGTTATAGATTAATATGTCTTACAAACCTTGGTATCGTCAGTTATAACGCCGCAAGCGACACGGTCACCCTGTGACCACATTTCATATACTTGACAACGTATACTGCCACCGCAAAACTCGATCTTCTTATTGATATAAACGCAAGTATTTACCTGGACAAAATATGAATATATGCATAAACTAATTACAAAATATTAATATGCAACAACAAAGGATAAAAAAAAGGATACCAAGCTATTTTTCAAACGCCACATCTCACTGCGTCCCATGTATTGATCTTTAAAAGTTAATTCTACAGAATCCAAAGCTACATCCTCTGGATTTACTATATTCATGTATACATCTGCAAATGTTCTCAATTGGAACATAGTCGCTACGTTATTTTCGACGCTGATAGTTTCACGACCTTGAAGATCTTCCTTGAAGGAGGTAACTTGCAACAGCAAACGACTGAACTCATCCTCAGGATGATAAATCTCAACAACATCACCAGTTTTTATGCCAGGATAATCCTTTGGATTGATTATCAAGTCTTCTCCACTGAAATTTTTCTGATGTACTATTAGTTTGAAAAGCTTCATGCTTCATCCAACATGATCTGACCTATAATCTGTAAAATATCCCAAAGTGATTGATACATATCTAGGACATATGTTATGTAGAACTTCATTTTGGATGAATTTGTTTATTCATGAATGTTTTTCATTTTTCTCAGAGAAAATGCATTATATTCCAGACTCTTCTTCGCGATTTTGTGGGAATATAAAACGGATTGAGGTGAACATAAAAGTCCTATATTATTTTGCGATATTTTGCGATATTTGCAATAATAGTCAAGATATTAATTAGAGAAAATTGATCAATATAGTAGATATATAGAGCTGTAATGGCAGCATGTGCTATTGTGTGCTTGTACATTAGGTCAAATTGAACAAAAAAGACTTTTATCATTTTGCAAATAACTATGTAGATTTTTAATTATGAATGAAAGAAAATTGTGTACATGAATTCACAAATCTCCTTTAATTAATATCTAAAAATTTATGTGGTCATTTGCAAAGTGGTAGAGGATTTTTTTGTTCAGTTTGATCTAGTATATAGATATACAATTGGCACCACTATAGCTCATTTACCATATTACACGCATGATAATTTGCTAATCTTCTTTAATTAATATCTTGAGATTTATAACGAATATCACAAAATGGTATGGTAAAATGATATTTTATATTCACATTAATCCGTTTTATGTTCCCATAAAAATTATAGAGAAGAGTCTGGGACTGTATATATATGTATATTCAGATAATAATATATAAAGGATGGATTGTGTATGTGTTCCAACCTCTTGATATGGTATCTGATAATTAAATCATATATCTGTCTGTTTTTTCTTCAAATTAGACAGACATATGATTTAACCTTCAGATACCTCCAACTAAGTATTTCACCTAACATAGTTATGTAAAATATTTTTGTTACTTTTCATGAAAGTATTTTAGTTCATTATATTAAATATTACATGTGGGGATAGTCCATTCTACATATAATACAATAACTGAGCAACATAAAGCTTTGCATTTGACATGTGTCTTACCTTCAACATATTAATAAATAAATAATAGTTAACTTTATATTAAACAAATTATAAGAATTACTTAAGGCTGGTTTTTCAATGATAGTTTAAACTTAGATTTCAACTTAAACTGTGTTTAAACAAAACAAACACATTGTTAGAATAGAGTTTAAACTTGAGTCCAAGTTTAAACTGCTATTGAAAAACCGGCTCTTAAACTTTTATCTTATATATTAAATTTAAGCTACTTTGTATATAATTCAATGGTATTGTTGTACAATTTAAATAATCTCTACAAAAGTCACCTGATATGTGTGTGTTGTGTGTGCTAATAAATCTTGTATAGACATAAAATCAATTGAAAAAATATTTTTTTATTCTTTATCTTAATAAAACGAGAAAAACATGCTAGATATTACCTAATATATATAAATTCGTCTTCTCTTATTAATTCTCTCGACGGTGTAGTACAATGTAGTAGCACACAAGAAAGGTTGGTTGGTTAGTTGTTGGCTATGGTTTGGAGCAAGTCCATCGACCAATATAAGTGTAGAAAAGAAGAACGCCTTCAAACATCCTAAATCTTTCTATTAATAGAGTGGAAGAAGTGAACGGGTGTATATCAGTTGGACACGGGGCAATTGGACACAGTCCAATCACAAGTCGCTGTTCCAAGGGACCCTACAAATGTCTCTAATCACACGGTGCTGTGATTGGCTGTGTCTAAATGCACCGTGTCCAAGTGCACCGCTCCCGAAGTGGACGACCTCTTCGTAAGCTATCTCGTTGTCACTAAACGCCACATCCATGGATGCGTTCAGATTCCTCATCCGGGTGCACTCTATTACTAGAAACACTATAGTATATGTGACATATACTATAGCACTTCTAGTAATAGAATATCGGGTGGGGAATCTGAACGCAGCCCATGATGATGATTGGATCAGCCATACCGGCCTTGCGCAGTTTAATAATAGCAAGTCAGAAGCCCTCTGGTTGCGCGGGCAATTTAAAAACAAATGTTCTGTCGTTTCAGAGGAGCTACATCCGCAAAGTGGATTATCAACAATTTGTTTATCGTATAAGTGCTGTGCCACGCATGTATGAAACGTTCTCAATCTAGTAATTGTAGCTAATGTGTGTCTATCCAAATGTGCGTGTTCAACAAACCAGGATTTGAGCTCCTCTTTAATTCGTGTGCGGTGAAAATATTTAAATCCTTTATGCGTGGCAGAATTTATAAAAAACTGAGTCGCATTTGTAATTAACTAATCCTTGATTATTCGCCTCACAGTTGAAGTGAAAATAACAGGTGCGTGAGAACGAGAGGAAGCTGCAGCAGTTCTATTCGCAGCTTTTTTAGCCAGCTTATCAGCTCTCTCGTTACCATGTATATGCAAATGACCAGGTATCCATACGAATACAATTTTAAATCCTCGTAAGCTTAGCTCAATGAAGATATCCTTGATAATATAGATCAGTTCATGATGTTGACCCTTCAGATCGCCATTACTTAAAGCCATAATTAAACCTCTGGAATCAGTTGCTATTATCAAGTTTTTATGTTCTAAATCCGATGCAGCTACCAGCGCATGAGCAACCGCAGTAGCCTCAGTTTCAAAGATAGACAAATTCTCAGTCAGACTGTAACTAGAAGTAAAGGCCGAAGGAAAAGGAGAGAATACCGCACAACCGACCCCTGTATTTGTCTTGGAACCATCAGTATAGAAAACTTTATAATTAGCAAAGTTGAAACTGATCAATAAGCGCTGGAAAAGAGAGTTCATAGAAACAGCAATATTAGTAGAAGACAATGGACAATTTTTATTAGCTTTATTCCTGTTGAAAGTATAAGATTCAACACATGCTTCACCAATATCCAAACAAGTCAGGAGACGAGCAAAAGACAAGCCAAAGTTATACTCCAAAGAGACAGGCAGGTTAGTAATAAATCATTTATTATGATATTCTGTAAAAATGCGATTGATACGGTAATGAAAATCCTCACCCACTCGCGCAAAACCATCAAGATCTCTATTATAAAGAGAGAGAGAGAGAGCATGTTCTCTTACTGGATGTTCTAGAAGTGAAAAATGCTTAGTCAGAAATCATTTTAAATTCAATTCTCTTCTCAGGTTCAGCAGAGCTTTGCCTGCTAAATGCAATAAAACTCCCCTATTAGTAGGGGATGTATTCATTGCACCCAACGCAATTCTCAAAGCTTCAAATTGAAGCCTGTCTAAGATGATGGAGATATTAGGACTGATATCCATAAATGCAGGAGAGCCATATTCCAGCACAGATCTTATTTAACCCTTGTAAATATTAAGAAGGTTAGTCGGATGTGCTTCCCAGCAGAGACCATCAATAGTTCTCATAATAGAAATTTTTTTTCGAGCTGCCTTTAACTTAATACAGTGATATTTCCAAGTTAAACCTCTATCTAGATAAACTCCTAAGAATTTAATAACATTAACACTGGGTATAACATTGTTATGCAATTTAATCGTAAAATTCCTTTTATTGATTAAATTATCGGCCTTCCGTCTTTTGGAGGAGGAGAACAAACAAAAGGAAGATTTTTCGCAAGAAATACTTAATCCTAATTGATTTATATTATTATTCAGAATGCCTAAAACTTCATTAATAAGCCTATAGATTATATGTACAAACGCGCTTGTCAAATAGTTAACGTGTTCCGTCAAATTGTAAAAAATGTAAGACATATAAATGTCAAACAAAAGAGGTCTGATTGTGAGTACAGATCCTTGAGGGACCCCTGTTTTTACCCTATGTTTGGCCAGGGAGGAACCGTCTACAAAACCCTCAATTTCCCTTAAGTATAATAAATGTTTTAAGAATTTGATAATTTTCGCAGGTAGATGGAGTTGACAAAGAATTTGCATAAGGATGGAAGGATCAACATTATCAAAAGCATTATCAAAAACATTATCGAATATCAAGGAATAACACTCCTGTATAAGATTTTTTGAAAAAATCCTTGTTTAATTGCGGATGTAAGTAAAAAAAGATTTTTGTTCAAACCACCATAAAAGACGATTAAAAACTAGTCTTTCGAATGACAAGAGAGATTGTTTTACGAATTTTATTTCATTCCAATGGCTCCGGGCTAGGCCCATTGCCAACTGCAGAGTTTCACGGATTTTAAAGGTCTTCATACACATGAAATGACAACTGCATGTGCATAGAATTATGTCCACGATAAATAACTATATAGGGAAATTTGAAAGTAGTGAAATCAGTGACTTACGTGGACGGTCAACAGAGTAATGGGTCCGCTCCGCTTTTGGGTCACTCTGCTTTTCACCGAGTTTACCCTGGGTCTCCGGAGTCTGGCGAAACGATCGATGAATCTGGCGAGAAATCAGCACTGCTCGTTCTCCTGGCTCGGTCTCGGATGTTCCAGCGCTGCGCGGGATGATGCGGCCCGCGATTCCGAATTTCGATTTCGCAACGTTCGAAAAATGAAGGGTAGGCAAAAGTAATTGCAACACAGTCGGATTTTACGACTAATATATTCCAAATAAGTACACGAGAATTACCAGAGACTAATTATGAGAAGAAATAATCGCCTTCTCAACAAATGCGCGCGTTTTTATATGTCGCTTTGTCGCTGAGAGTCGTTTCCTGATTGGCTGATGGAGTCATGGAGATGGAAGAGATTCATCCCATCGGTATATCACCGCGTCGATATCGCCGCGTCGGTCCTGAGTGGTGTTTGGATTCAGGGAGTCGATTCTGTATCTCGAAACAAAGTGAAAATTACAAAAGTGAGCAAATATACTAGAATATTCGTAATTTCATTGGTCAGTGCCTAGTGAATGTGCTTACTTTTGTAATTTTCACTTCGTTTCGAGATACAGAATTGACTCTCAGTTTTCATGCTCCTGTTTATGTTAGCAGAGGGACGCCTTATCGCATTGAGCGATTACGGTTTCTTTTGTCTACAATTGATCCATCGATTTTAAGATTCTCTAACGACACGCAGTGTTCAGCGTTATAATTTTAATTATAACATTTAACGTGCGCGAATATACATATGCGCACGTACTTACGTCTAGTAACATAGGTATAAAATATCTAGTAATGTCTGAAATCAGACAAGTCGGTCTCTTATCTATATTAATATATTATTAATGTTTCCAAATAAGTCCGGACGTTACAATAGCATAAAACTATATGGACTAATGAGCATCGAGTATTGAGCATCAAGCATCAATATGGCGACTCGATGCTCATTGGTCCATGCAGTCTTATGCTATGCACATGCAGTTATGTCATTTCATGTGTGAGGACCCTGAATCCGGTCATGAAATGAGGGTGCGTTCCCACTTAGCGCGTCACTCGTCGCGTTGTCCGAGTTAAGCCAATCAAATTGTCCCATTTTATCGCATAATTTTACGTCGAATAAAATAGGACGATTTGGTTTGGTTAACTCGGACGACACGACGCGTGACGCGCTAAGTAAGAACTCAGCCTAAGAGAAAAGGAGACCGAATTTGATAGGGCGCGAGTAGAGAAAGTGGTCCTAATTCGTATCCCCCAATTGAGAAGAAATCCGCTGAAAAGAATAATGGCTCCTGCACACAGGACGCGGTAATGCTTGCCGCGCGGCGGAAGTTCGCGCGACAGCCAATCAATATGTTGTTTTTCCGTAAGAGCTAGAAGATTATTACGGAAAGTAGCATATTGATTGGTTGTCACGCGAACTTCCGCCGTTCGGCAAGCATTACCGCGTCCTGTGTGCAAGAGCCATATGAATCCCGCTCACACGCGCATGCGTACACTCGTGATCTGAAAGGTTTGTGCACCGATTTTTTGTAGATTTCGGAACGCGTCCGAACTTCAGGAGAGAGACAACCACTGCTTGACACGCCAGCGCCGCCACTTATTTACGAGAGCAGAAGGATGGCATATATGGTATATGCCATCCTTCTGTTCTCGTAATAAGTGACGGCGCTGGCGTGTCAAGCAGTGGTTGTGGTTTGGTTTACATCGTGCACTTGATACGCGTACTAAATAGTAACTTTCTATTAGATAATCTTAATATCGACAATGCATATCAACGGCGACGCATTCAATCATTACAATACGTTTTGTTGATGAGTATTATACCAGCTTAATATATCGTTGTTTATATATATCGTCGATATTAAGACTATTTAATAGAAAGTTACTATTTAGTACGCATATCAAGTGCAGGATGTAAACCAAGTCTGTCTCTCTCCTGAATTTGGGACGCGTTCCAAAATCTACAAAAAATCAGTGCACAACCTTTCAAATCACGAGTGTACATACACCACACACTGCTTGCCCGTCTACACGCGCGCTCGCCCAGGCGGGCGGGCAAGCGCGCGTGCAGACGGGCAAGCAGTGTGTGCGTGTGTATGTGCGTGCGTGCGTATGCAACTGAACGTAATACATTATTAAGAATGACAATTTATGTTAGTTAAGTTAGATTATGTCACTGGCGACAATGTGTTAGGTTCAGTTGCATAATAGGACATGCGCACCCACCGCAAGCCCGCCCGCGCGGGCGGGTGAGCGCGCGT